AGAGGAGAGGACTGCAGCACTGCCCTCTCCTGAGGTGAAGCCTTCCTGGGGCAAATCCCTGTCCCCAGCTGGGTCATGGTGGCTATGGTGCAAGGAGAGAGGCCACCCTCCCCAGAGCACCGGGAAACTCCACTGCCCGCTTTCCCCTACCTGTGGTATGTGGCACCACCACGCTCCTTTTCGATACTCAGCGGCAATTCCAGCAGCAACGCTGTAACCAGAAGCCACGGCAGGCTTCGGCTGTCCCTGAGCTCTGCAAAGAGCCTTCTGCCACTTCCTTCTCTGACCACAAGTGTCAAGATAGATTCCAGAGTGTCAAGATAGATTCCATTCCAGATAGATTTAGGTCCTTTACTATTTTTCTAATTTACGTGCTCAAAATAACTTCCAGAACTATCTTTGAAAGTAAATAAAGAATATACATTTGTATTATTCTACGTATTCATATGCATACATTAATATTGATCTATATACATGCAGTAGTGCAAAATAAACTTCAAATTATCTAGGGCAATGCAATTCCATTCTAGGATTCTGATGACAATGTTATCCTGCTTCTTTTCCTGGTCCATGACACTAAAAAAGAAACCCTGTTGAAAATGATGGCTTTATTATAATAATTAAATGAATACACAAAGGCTAATAAAAATATTATATTTGTGAACTTTTTTGTTCAGTAGTTTCATAAAAATGTGGTATTTCATATGAAGGCTGGTCTACTCTACAAAGGAAATCAGGGGTGAATACATTAGTTACACTGTTGTAGCTGTAGCAGCAAAAAGTTTTCATAGCAAAAAAGGTTTCCACGTAGTAATCCTTAGTTCAATATATATAAATTCCCTTTCAGCAGGCATTCAACAACAACAGAAAAAATTCCGAAGTGACAGAAATAATAATAGAGACTAAAATTGAAAAGAACTATGCAAAAATTCCTTAACCACTTACCGCTGATTGACAAAAGGAGTGGAGAACTCTGCAAGCAGACGGAAGTTTCCGAAATAAGCCAACAGACCTTTGCTCTGGTTAGCAAAACAAAACAGACATACAAAAATCAACAACGTAGATGTGGAATCTTGATTCATGTCTTCAAGTATAACAGAATGATACAACGTCTCAACTTCTTTATTAAAACTGACAGAAAGCCAGTTTGCCAGCTGTGGCCAACTTCCTTACAATTTCAAAATTAGGTCTACTACAAAAGCTGCAATTGTCCTTCAGGTAGATCCAGTCAGTAGTTTCTTATTTTAAATAAATCTTTAAAAGACTTACAGTTAAGTGGCCACGGAAAGCTAGCTAGAGAAGACTGGCACAAGTAGTCATAGGTTGTAATTATAATGATGCTATTACTAAGAGAATTATAAATATTTTTAATTTCTCAATGCTTAAACAAGCCCAAACAGGAACACTGTAAGCTAAAGAAAAATGTCCCCGCGTTGTTTTAGGAACATAATGTGCCAAGGCGAAGATGAGTTCTTATTTGGCAGCAGAAGGGGCACATAAAGCCCTTTGTTCTCTCCTCCCCACTGCAGGGGAAACCCTTTCCACCAGCTCTGTCGCGGTCCCCGCCGTGCCCCGTGGGTTAGAAGAAGAGCACGTCCTCCCCGTGCCGGTATCCAGATAACCGTGTGGTACGCTGACACCGATACACGTTCCAACTGAGCACTTTCCTCCAAATGACAAAAGCAGAGCATATTCTCTGCCTTATCCTTTGGTCGTGCTGAAATAGTATCCCATTACACAATGGCTGGCAAGCAGCAATTTGCAGGTGTAGAGATAAAAAGATTTAAAAAAAAAAAAAAAGTCAGTAGGTCTCCTGAACAACCTATGGAGCGTGTGTCATCACTCCTCTTTCCCCACCGAGCGTGCTCACACCCTCTACTTCAGGCATTTCATGTCAGTTCGCGCTACACCAAACAGAAAATCTGTGTTCTTAATCAAATTCTCTATCTTCAAGACCAATTTTTGAAATAAGATACTTACGAGTAACTTTGAAGACAAGAGAGAGTAACACACAGACATCCAAGGGCAGAGCTAGATCCAAATAACAAGAACTGCTTTAAAAGTAGTTCATGCTAACACTACGCTTTCTCTTTACTCCAGAAACAACTAATGAATTTTCTGCATCAGGGATTGGCCTTGGCAGTGGTATTTTCATTTCTCCAATATTCAGCTCTAATTCACTTTCATCCGTGATAATATCAGTAGATCTAATTATCTTCAGCCCGAAACAGAGTATTTACTTGTCCCCTTTAAACTGTACATGGGAAATCTGACAGTAATCTGGCATCTTGACACTTTTAATGTTGTAAGCCTGGGATTCACACAGTAGGCAGGGAAAGAAATGTGGTAAATGAAGTAAATTGTATTTTGTAAGATGTCTTTATGTACTGCATGAGCTTTTCTGAAGAAATTCAGGAGCATTATTCTGGAGGTCAGTGGGATTTCTACCAAGTCACATGGGCATTTTTGAGAAATTCCAGCAGCAGCAGAGAGTCACTGTCTTTTTCTAGAACAGTAACCTTCTCTTCCCCTTTTCCCTTCAATATATGTACGCCACAGATATTTATATATATATACAGTTAATCATCCATTGTTTCCCCACCAAAGTAACCTTAAACAAGAAGTCTCCAAGGATCAGTTTGTGTCATAACTGATTTTTTTAAAAAATTAAAATGGAAAAAGAAAAAAAAAACACCCCAGAAAAAACACACCCAGCTGATTGTAGTACATTGACCAGAGTCAGGGATCACTGACCTCTGGCCTTGCAAATACAATCACAAGCAGAACATAACCACTTGAAACCATTTCCTTCTAATTTTCCAACTAAATATTCAGGCTTGTGGTTTTATTTGAAACCCTTCTCTATAACCATGTGAAAAGCCCCTCTGTCAAAGTCTCTCTACAGCAAAAACCGAGAAGAGTTTGAATTTCAGCAGTTAAGTTACACATTTTTGTTGAAGGACTGGAACACTGAAAAGGCACACACTTATCTCAAACAACTGATGAAACCATTTAGAAAGTAATGATGACTGAAAATATAAATATGCCTTTCACAAAGGTAACACACCAACCAGTGAAGAATTTTTTTCAACATGAAGCAAACGAGACCTATAAAAGCAGTGTCTTCAATCTCATCTGCTTCTAACGTTACTGGAAAATACAGCACTCACCAGTACAAAATAGTAAGCGTACAGAGCTGCCAAGTGATGCATTACAAAAAATTTGTCACCAATTGCCTTCCAGTAGTAAATAATAAGCAACAAATCTACAAGAGAAAAGAAACAAGTATAAAGAACAATTGATTATACTACCATTGACCTCAGAATAGCATTTCTCTAAGTTTTAGAGGTATAAATGCCAACATATGGCATCAGTAGAAACTCTCTGAATTAGTTATCTCTGAAGAGAAGATCTTGATCCTAAAGACTTTACTGTAGTCAAAGCATTAAGCAACAGTATTCTTCCAACAGTCACCATAAAATACTACCTTCCACATCAATGGAAGGACAGAGGCAATAGCTTTAGTTGAGATATTTTGGAAGGAAAACATGGATCCAGAATCTCATAGCAAGACTTCACACTTACGAACCCAAAAATTTGGAACA